GCTCAGGCAATCCACTCACCTCAGCCTCCCAAAGCACGGGATTACAGGCTGAGCCACCACGCCCGGCTTCGGCTGTTCATTTTCATCATGACAGGCAGGAGGCTTTCTCCAGGGCAAGTCTGGACTTCCCCTTCAGTGACAGCAACACCCAAAATGCTACCAGGACTGAAGTAAGCAAAAACAGCCGAGAGACAAGGATGTCCAAACAGAACAGCAAGGCTTATGTCCAAACAGAACAGCAAGGCTTGTAGAGGCTGAGCTACAGGAATACAATCCTCTGTGCCAAGCACATCCAGCCAGTGCCCTCAAGTGGCACTAGAACTGATGCAACCTAATGCCAGGAAAAAAATATGTAGACTCTTACATGGCAAAATCCACGTCACCAACGCTTTGGCTGCTCCTGGGTCTCTGAAAAACTTCTGTATATGTTAGGGCTTACTGACCAGGAGAGGAAGCGACTGTGCACTTTGACATACACTGTGGCTACACACCTGGGGCTGGCTCACACACTGAACCTGCAAAGCTTCTTTGGACAAATATTATTGCTACGGGCTAATAATAATAACGTTTGCAAATTGTTTGCATATATCATTATATATCATTTCATTGGAGAGAACCAGCAGTCCTTTAAAGCAGGATTGGAAATATTATACCCAGTTTACTGATGAGAAAACTGAGGATTGAGAGATGGCTATGGGCAAAGTCAAACAGCTAGTAATAGTAAGGGAGCTGGGGGTGGTGGCTCATATGTAATCCCAGCACTTTGGGAGGCAGAGGTGAGAGAACTGCCTGAGTCCAGGGGTTCGAGACCAACCTGGGCAACTTGGCGAGACCTCGTCTCTACAAAAAAAATCAAGAAAAATTAGCCCAGTGTGGTGGTGTGCACCTGTAGTTACAGCTACTTGAAAGGCTGGGGTAGGGCAACCCCCTCAGGTCCCCTCCCATTGTGGGAGCTTTTCTATCCTCTCAATAAATTCTGATTTCTCACTTTCAAAAGAAAAGATAAAAGAAAGGCTAGGGGGTAAGGATCGCCTGAGCCCTACAAGTCGAGGATGCGTAAATTCTGATTTCTCACTTTCAAAAGAAAAGATAAAAGAAAGGCTAGGGGGTAAGGATCGCCTGAGCCCTACAAGTCGAGGATGCGGTGGCTGTGAGCGTGCGACTGCACTCCAGCCTGGGCGACAGTAAGACACCGACTCAAACAGAAAATCAGTAAGGGGCCCAGCTCAAAACTCCTGCCAGCTTGGCCACTCACAACTCACGTTCCTTGTGTCGACCTCCAGGAAGGGTCAGCAGCAAATCTCTCTTTAGGGCACCGGTTCCCGTCAGTGCTGGGGGTGGAAACCTGCCTTCCGTGGGCTCAGCTGGGGCCCCACTACCGCCTTACAGGAATACAGTGGGCTCGGCTCGGCCCCAAATCTAAGTGTTGAGGAAACAGACCGAAGCCAAGTCTCTCTGAATCTGCACATTGCTTCCCGTCCACCCTCCCACCGCTGAGTATCACGCAAGATGAATTACGTTCAAGCTCCTGAAATCTGTAAATCGCTATAGCCACGTGGGCCATTCCTACCCTTAGGTTCCACCCGGGCTACAAGAATCTCCAGGCCGCCGGGCCGGATCCCGCCTCGCCCCCGCCCGACACCCTCGCCCGGCCTCGGCTTCCCAGCCTCTCCCCGGGTCCCGAGCCAACCCTTGCTTCTTAGCTCCTCCAGGCAGGAGGCGGCCACGCCGTGCTGTTCGCGGCTGTGGTTGCGGCGCAGCAGACACGGTTTTAGAGCCCGGATCTCGCCGGATTCTTGTGCCTCGCCGCCACTATTGACCTCCATCCTCTTCAAAGGAGAACCTGACTGACTCAGGGAAGTCGCCGGGGGTTTGGGGCGGCGGTCCTCCTACCGGGCCCCTTCCCGCGGCCTGCCGGGAGGTGTAGTTCTTGCCGCAGCAAAACTCGCGCGAGGCCAAGGCACGCCGGATGATGTAGTTCTAGTTGACGCGAATCACGTGCGGCCCCAGGGCATGCCGGGAACTGTAGTCTATGGGTGCAAAGACAGTTTCGTTACATCGCGCTAGGCGATGCAGCCCAGGAGTGTATTTTTATCTCATATTTGAGAATTGGAATCGCACGTTCACAAATGAGGTCAACAGGGGCTTATTTTGCATTACGAAGCACACAGCACACGCATATATATTGCATTGAAGTCTCGAGCATTCCTATTTGCATATGTGACACGTAATGCTAATACTTAAATACAACCTCTGTCATTGTGCTGTATTCGTAGGTTTTCCTTTTCTAACCTGAAAAAAACCGGTACTACGTCCCAACCTTCAGTCTAAGTTAAAGGAAGTCAGTTTTAAAAATAGGCTAGTGTAGTTTTAAGTCTTGGTGAAGTGTAACAAAGCAGTGTAAGATACCTGCTCATTTCTATCTAGTCTATTCCCTGCTTCATTCAGCTGTGCCAGTTGGGTTGAGGAGTCAGAACAAAACGCTTAAATATATACAGTAAACATTAAAGTCTCAAACAAATCCGAAAGGAAAGGGGAAATGCTTTGAACCACAGCACTGTGTTGGATTGTTCAGATGTTGCTTGACAACATATTCTTCCTTTTTTTTTTTTTTGAGTTGGAGTCTCACTTTATCGCCCAGACTGGAGTGCAGTGGCACACCGCAGCCTCGACCTGCTGGGCTCCGGTGATCCTTCTGCCTTAGCCTTCCAAGTAGTTGGAACTACAGGCGCTTGCTATCACGCCTGGCTGATTTTTTTTTTTGACGTATTGTAGAGATGAGGTGTCGTCAAGTCGCCCCGGTAGGTCTCGAACCCGAGGGCTTAGGCAATTCACTTGCCTCGTCTCCCAAAGTGCTGGGATTACAGGCTGAGCTACTGAGCCCAGCCCCCTTTATTTTTATTTTTATTTTTGAGTTGGAGTCTCATTCTGTCGTCCAGTCTAGAGTGCAGTGGCCACCACAGCCTCCACCTGCTGGGCTCAGGCGATCCTTCTGCCTCAGTCTTTCAAGTAACTGGAACTACAGTTGTGCACTACCATACTCAGCTAATTTTTGATTTATTGTAGAGAAGAGGTCTCACCAAGTTGCCTGGGTGGGTCTCGAAATCTCGAACCCTCAGGCTCAGGCAATCCACTCACCTCCGCCTCGCAAAGTGCTGGGATTACAGGCTGAGCCACCGAACCTGGACCCCCCCCTTTTTTATACAGTAAAAGAACAGTTTATGTATTTATCCCACCAAATGGTCGATTCCTCAAGTTTCTGCCATGTGTAGACATTCTTTGTGTGTGTGTGTGTGTGTGTGTGTGTGTGTGTGTGTGTGTGTGTGTTTTGACTTGTAGTCTCACTTTAATCACCAAACCTCTTTGTAACCCCATACTCTAGGGCCTGCCTTCGTAGACCCGTCTCTTTTAGCAGATGCTATTTTTCCTTTTCAGAATTTCCTCTTATCATATCCCTCTCATTTTTGCAAGAATGACATCTTTGTGTTCCTGGTAAACACACAACCTGGAGGACTGGGTATCAATCTTACTGCTGCTGATACAGTAAGTAATGAGGGCACATTACATTGGACTTGTATGTTTTCTACTATAAACATGCCATTGTTTGTTTTTACATTCTGCTTTGTGTCTCAAACTTTTTTATTTCTTTGCCTTTCACTGTATTACGAGACTGTAGTTGCACTTTGACTGGAACTGGAACATCTTAACTTTCCTTTTGGATTTTTTATTTGAATAAGCTTCTTATACATTCATTCAACAAATATTTCATGAATGTCTACTATGTGTC